AAATGCAAATCGTCTCTTTAAGTAGATAGGAGTTGCAGGATTAAATAAAATATTATACAGTAAAGAGAGGATGTGAGTATTCCGGCGAAGCCGAACTGGGAGCCACTTGAGTTTTTTACGAAATTCGGAAATATGATCATATTTTCGCAAGCCAAAAATGAATCTTATACAGAAGTTCTGAAGTCTCTCAAGCTTATCGAATTGGTCCTCTTTCAGATCAAGATAGCTGACAGCGGCATAGCCAAGGATGGGAAGAAGAATTGATTGTGCGAGCTCAACCCTAGTGGCAGTTGGAAGGAAATTACGTAATCTTCTTAAACAGGTGGCAGAGGCAAACATTTTACGGCTGACATTTTGTATTTGAGCATTCTGTAGTGTGCGGCTCGCCTTACCTTATATGTAACTGCACACATTTATTTAGAACATTATTAAACCGATTATGGAACCGAACAGTTGTCTATAATTTACCTACGTCACATGGCGACCCTTAGCCAGCAGTTTTTTATTCATTTAAATTTTTATTGAAATTTTAAAATTATGAATAAAGAAGGCGTATAGTTATTTAGAAGACTAGAAGATTATTGAAGAATGTAAATTGAGGAACGTTAGAAGAATGAAAATGTTGAAGAGAAATTGATTTTGAAGAAAGACGATGAAGATTACTCATAGAAGATTTTAGAGAAGACAAAAGTCAAAAGACTCTTACAGAAGAATACCATGAAAGAAGATCAAAAATAAATCTGATTCGATTATCGATCGATCTCTCTCTCGATTCTTGATATTTTTGAAGATGTTGTGTGTTGGTGCCGGGTGTATGGAGAATGCTCAAGCCTATGATGAGAGGATGTGCAGGCATGAAAGGGTTTTGTCAACGTAGACCCCTAAATTTTTGACATAGTTGCTAATTGGAATTGTTACGCCTTCAAAAGATATTTGTGGTAGTGCAGTCCAGTCAACTTTTGCGATAAGTCTGGAGCTGCCGATCACTGTCACTTGCGTTTTCCTAGGGTTAACTTTTAGGCCATACATTGTTGTCCACTGATATATGTGGCTCAGATCTCTATTTATGGCGTCAATACCTAGTGGCAGCTCATTAAGATTTGTTTGGTAATAAATTTGCAAATCGTCTGCGTACAGGTGGTAGGAAGAGAGAAGTTGATTAGTGATTGTGTTGATGAATATTGAAAATAGTAAAGGGGATAATACGCCACCCTGTGGCACACCGGCGGATGTATTTGACCAGTTGGAATAGTTGTCATCCAGGCGGGTACGCTGCCGGCGACCAAACAGGTAACCACGAAACCAGTCAATAGCTGATGGAGATATGTTAAGAGAGTTTAATATGGCAAGGAGAACGTCAAAGTCGACAGAGTTGAAGGCGTTGCTAAAGTATAATAGACATAATACTGTGAGTTTTCCATTCTCCATACCTGTCCTTATATCGTCCGTAATATTAACGAGAGAGGTAGTTGTGCTGTGGCCGGGACGGAAACCAGATTGGAATGGGTTAAGGAGGTTATTTCTGCAAAGAAATGAATTGAGCTGGTTGTGGATAATACGTTCAAGTGTTGAAAGATATTTTAATGTATTAATTTTGGTTGTCTTATTAAATTCAGACGAAGTAGAGAAGTGCTGGTTTAGTAAGTTTAAGTCTATCTGGTTAGAAGACAGTTCTTGACGCTGCTTTCCAATCCCTAGAGACCTAAGAAATTTCCAGACTTTAGCTGGATCACCATTTTGTACGGAATTATGAATATGTTGGCGTTGTGCATTCCTACACACCTTGTTGCAGTGTTGCTATAATCCATTAACAAGAATGGCCCGTCAATATAATGATATCTCAAAATCCAATTTTTTTTTTTTTTTTGTTTTTAAAAAGACAACTCCCGCATTAGGAATATATCTTGTGTCGCGGGGGACTTTACAAACATACATGAAACGGACACAAAGAACACCCAGACTCAGAACAACAATTTGTGGATCACACAAAGTGTCGTCCCATGTGGGGTTTGAACCCACAACACTCGGCGTAGTAGGAAGCGGCGTGGCGACCACTTAAACCACTGCGCCATCTGTGCAGTCAAATGCACAGATGGCGCAGACGTTTTTGATCCTAACTATAACAGATATACTAAATTGGTGAAAGACATCCTCCATGGTGGGCTGCGTTTGGATTAGCATTCAAATCTACATCACAATTGCTGCTTGCTTACTTTGTCACTTATTTTTGTATTACTTGCAGTATTATTAATCAGAGAAAATTTTTGTATAATCTTCATTGTTTTTCTTTGTGTACATTTGAGTTACGTTACGATCCAGATCTAAATGATGTATTTATGATTTATGTTTCAATTGATTGTAATGTGTTTTGTGCATTTAATAAACAAAATAAATAAAAAAAAAAAAACCGCAAGTTTATGTATTTTTCTTTGTTGAAATCCGTGGGTCTCGCTTTGTATTTCGATTTTGCCGCTGCTTTGCGATTAATTAATTTCTTAATTTCATCTGTAAGCCAGGGTGATGGTAAATGTTTCAGCTTAATTGGTCGAACCGGTGCATGCTTGTCGTAGAGTGCTATCAGCCTACCATTAAATATTTCTGTCATTTCATCAACTGATGAAGCTGACAGAAGGGGGACCCAATCGATCTCCTCTGCATCCTTTCTAAGAAGCCCATGATCTATACCACTAAAATTACGCTGCATGAGAAGTCTTCACTTTACCTTAGGAGGACGGGTTTTGTAGGAAAGAAAAAGGTCATGGTAAGAAAATTCGTCTGCTGCACATTGTCCATGTTTGGCAACGCGATCAATTGACGAAACAAGAATAAGATCAAGAAGAGAAGGGGCACAGTTAGGAAATTTATGTGTTGCTTTTAGAGGAAGAATAGTAAGAAAGATTAATAGATTCTGCAATGGAGAGTAAAGATGAAGTGCGGGAGTCATTTCTTAAAAGGCAAGTATTAAAGTCACCCATAATAATAGTTTGACTATATATGGGTAAAAGCGTTGGTAGCATATTCTCGAAGGAGGAGAAAAAATTGATACGTAAAGAGGGACAGCAATAAACGCCTTATAACAATTTTGAATGGTGTAGCTCGACCTCTATAAATAGATGCTCACCAGCATTTGGTGGGGGTGGCTGTGTGGACATACTAACAACCTTGTGAGGAATGTAATGCCGGAGATAGATAGCAACACCACCACCACCACCCACAGCTCGATCATTTCTTATGAGTGTGAAGCCAGGGAGAGAGTAAGAGGATGAAGGAAGACATGGCTTAAGCCATGACTCCGAGACAAGTATAGCGTGAATAACTTTGCAGTCAAGATTTGTCAGCATATCGGGGAAGTGAGCGGGAATACTCTGCGCATTTAAATGAATGACATTAAAATTCTTGGCAACATCGGTGAATTGTCGTTGAAGCTTGTCAGCCAGCGAAATACTAACGAAACTGTCATCGTCATCACTACTGAGTGAATAAAACTCATCACTATCACTACCCGAGTCCATAAGATACGTTACGATAAATACAGTGGTTATATAAATTGATAGCAATAAAATACGATGCAGAAATCGCTGTAGGCAAATATATGTTTTACCCTATTTTACCCAGTACAAATTTCAAAAGCAATCGCAGCATAGTCCACCTGCCAGTCACGTGGTGTTCACAGATTGTGCAGCCAGTAGCCATAAACAACTTTGAATTAAATGAATAATAATATGGAATCATGCTTTTCCTTTCATCTTAGAAAGTATTATACAATAAAGAAAAATAAGTAAAAAGTAATAAAAAAAAAATGAAAAATACAATACACAATGACAAAAACATGCCAGTAAAAGTTGCAAGATATAAAAATTGCCTTAATCGATAAACGTAATTGGTTAACTTAGAAATAGTCACGTAAAATTATGGTCAAAAAAAATAATACTATATAATACCAACAGTACCTAATAAAAAAAAGGAGGCTGAGAATATGGTTTAAGTACACACAGTGCAATGACAGTTCTTATTTAATTATAAGGTCTGTGACGAGAATGTCAGTTCAGACATAAGTCTTTTGAAATTAAAAGTCAATGATGAAATCTAACGAGAATTTCAGCTGTTTTTTTATTTTGACATTTGACAGTTGTCCTTGTCATGTGGGTATATTAATATTACAATATTAAGTGTTATTTTTAAAGATTAAAATACCGTGCATGTAATGTAAATACTTCGCTAGTTACAGTGGCTTTACTAGGACATTTGATTTTAAAAACATTGCATGTTTAACACGAGAGGGTGACACAATGTAAAACGCATTGTGGAGTTAACTGCCTACTCCCGGCATGAAAATAAATTATCGGAAATCAGCACCAATGGATAATCACTTCCTAGAAGCCGTTCTTCTAGTCTTAGAACACTGATTTTTACGGGTGGTTGGCTCCACACTCGTACCTTCAGAAGTAACTGGAGCTAGCTTCATTAAGTCAGCTCTTGAGCTTACCTTATGCCGCTCTCCATCCGCCCCATGTAAAAATATGGTACCTCCTCTGGTCCAACATTTAGCAACACCAAACATCTCTCGGGCAGCCAGGAACAAATCATGACGAGGTTTAGTGAGAAATTCCGATAGAGTGATACCTGATCCCTTAAGTTTGGTTTTCGAAAACCACACCTTGTCTCGGATAGATGCATGTTGCAGCTTGACGAGTATTGGACGGTGCCTATGGAGAGCTGTAGGTCTACCGAGGCGATGACAACGCTTTATGTCACTCACTCGACTGCACGGATGGCGTAGTGGTTTAAGCGGTCGCCACGCCGCTTCCTACTACGCCGAGTGTTGTGGGTTCAAACCCCACATGGGACGACACTTTGTGTGATCCACAAATTGTTGTTCTGAGTCTGGGTGTTCTTTGTGTCCGTTTCATGTATGTTTGTAAAGTCCCCCGCGACACAGGATTTATTCCTAATGCGGGAGTTGTCTTTCAAAAAAAAAAAAAAAACTGAATTCTTCGACTTTAAGCTGAGTTTAGATGATTTTTTGAACTTTTAGTGAAATCTTCTTTCTTTTCTTCCTCAACTCCATGAATTAGAAGAATCTTTCTTCGCCCTTGCATCTCTAATTGGTCCATGCTGGCTACCAATGACTCTACTTGTTGCTGCAGACTCTTAAGGACATCAAGAACAAAGCTCCGGAACGTAGAGAAGTCACCAGCTAATCCAGCAATGCTTGTCATGGGGCTTGTGTTATTAAGGAGATCAGCTTCAAACTTACTCATTCTGCTATGGAACATGTTGCTCAAGTTTTCCATGGTGCTCAGAAGTGCATCAATTTTCAGTTGTTTATAGTGAACACAACAGGTAGCACTAAGTTGATAGGAATACTGTACACTGGCAGGTAGTGTCTTGTTATTAAATGTTATTGCATAAGATCAATAAAGTAGTTACAAATAATATTATTTTAAATAATTTTATCGGGAGTTAAATTTAAAGAATGTGTCACTCACAACTACCCGAATTTTTTTTTTTTTTTTTTTAAGCGCTGTCCAACTAGTACAAATTGGGAGAAATACGTCGCAATTCGGAATCGCTGCAACAAGTTGTGTAGGAATGCACAACCTCAATTTATCCATGCCTCTGTTGAACATGGGGATCCGGCCAAGGTCTGGCAGTTTCTTCGATCACTAGGAGTTGGGAAGTCACGGCAACGTGGACGGGACAACCAAAAATAACACGATACAATATCTTTCTTCTCTCCCAACTCTAGACTCTCCTACATTTGTCTTTAGTCAATTTTTTGATTGTGATGTTAGGAAGAGCATACTCTCTATTAACTCCAATGCAGTTGGTAGCGATGGTATCAGCCGTGATATGATCCTGCCTATCCTAGAAGAAATCATTCCTGTCCTTGTTCACATATCGCAGTCCCCGACGAACAAAATCGTAATAGGAAAATAACAATTTTACAGGAGCAAATAAAAACTGAATATCTTGAATACTATCAAGACTAAAAAGAAGATTCTTTTATCAAAAATAAGGAAATATTTTTTTGCACTAGATTTTTACTAAATTTTTATCATAAATTTTCTTTATCAGTAAGAAAATTGTGAAAATGTCCATTACTGAAATAAGCTATGGAAAAAATTAACGCAAACTAACTTTACGATAGTGTTCGACTGTAATCACAAATCGGTGTTGCTGTAGTAATCGTTCATTATGATATTGTTCCATGGTAAATATGAATATACTTTATATTCGTAAAATGACATTGCAATCGTATTCGGTGATATAACTGACTTTAATATTACGGTAAACATAAATTACATGCGTATTCGATGATCATTTTTAGGTGTTATAACCATTTCGGTACCTATGTATAAATTCTGATTCTGATTCTGTCATTTTTCCCTCGAACAATATGGTAATAGCCGCTTACTCTAAAATGTTGACTTTTGAGATTTGGTAATAGGTTTTTGCGTTATTGATCGTGTAAATTTTTCACTTATGTTATACGTTGAACAAAAACATAAAGATCATTATTGAATGGATAAATCCAAAAGTATTCATCGCCCGATCATAAAAAAAACTCAATGATTGTAATAGGGTGTGTAGATAACGAATATCTAATAAACCCGATTCTATCGTAATAGCGATTACCATAGTGTTCGTCGGGGACTGCGATATTTAACTTCTCCATGGCAACCGGAAACTTTCCAACTGCTTGGAAAGAAGCATTAGTAACTCCATTACCTAAGAAATCAAATCCATCCAGTTTCTATCCTCCTCTTCCTATCTAAAACTCTCGAACGTCTTGTCTACAACCAAATTAATCCCTATCTTTGTAAAAATTCCCTTCTAAATTCCCTCCAATCTGGTTTTCGTCCTGGACATAGCACCACCACCGCACTGGTTCATATCACGGACGATATACGGTCAGGCTTTGAGGATGGCAAGCTAACTGTGCTGGCGCTGCTAGACTTTAGTAACGCCTTTAACACTGTTGACTTCGACGTCTTGCTTGCCATAATGTGCTCTCTTAACATATCTACGACGGTTGTTGACTGGTTTCGTAACTACCTGTTCGGGCGTCGGCAGCGTATTCGAATCGATGAAAGACTCTCTGGTTGGTGCACTACAACTGCCGGCGTACCACAGGGTGGCGTTTTGTCTCCCTTGCTCTTCGCGGTTTTTATAAACTCTATTTCCAATAACTTAGCTTCATCTTACCACCTTTATGCAGACGTTTTGCAGATCTATGCTCAAACACCCGTGGAACAACTAGGAGCAGCGATCTAGACTATTAACCGGGATATAGAGCAGATTTGTACGTGGAGCAGGCAACACGGGTTAATAGTGAATCCATCTAAAACACAAACAATCATTATCGGTGGCACTAGGACATTATCAAAAGTCGATTGGTCACATCAGCCCCAAATATACTGCGATGGGGCCTTAGTTCCGATCTCGAACACCATTAAAAATCTGGGAATTCACCTTTACCAATTACGACCAAAATTGCCCTTGCAGAATCCCTTCTTCTCCCAATCCTTGACTACGCAGATACCAGCTATCCCGATCTCACCGAAGACCAACTTAATAAGGTTGAGCGGCTCCAAAACTTTTGCATAAGGTTCATCTTTGGATTGCGCAAATTTGACCATATTTCTGAATTTCGGAATAAGCATAACTGTTTACCTATTCGTCTTCGCCGGAATATTCATATCCTTTCACTATTATACAATATTCTCTTTAACCCCAACACTCCCCTTTATTTAAAGGAACGCTTCAGATTCCTACGTGATACGCATTCAAAGTCCTTTTGTGTAATGAATTTATTGTGTAGTGATGTGTGTATGTGTTTAGTGTATATGTTTGAATTAGTTTGTATAATCAAATAGTCGTTAGTCTTAATTTACAAAAAACTCCGATCTACAAACTGCAACCCCCTATCTCACTCCTATTCTCCTTCTCCATCCAGTGGTTGCCTGGAAGAGATCGCAAAACGCGATAAGGCCGCCAATTGTACAAATTTTAACATTTTACTCTCCATGTTAAATTAATTTAACTTTAGATATAAGACACACTATGTATACAAACTGATTTCTTCTTTTTATTATGTTTTTTGTACAATAAAGAGTTATTTATCTATCTATCTATCTACAAAACCTAGATTCCTGTATGCTTTTTTACAGCACTTGACATAGTCAAGTGCTGTAAAAAAGTGGTCACGAAACGTTAGCTCTGTGTTAAGACTTATACCTAGATCCCCAACTATTTGGACCCTAACCATCGAGACCCCATCAACATTATAACAATGTAAGTTGGGATTACGTGCACGAGAAAAAGTAATGGTGACACATTTATTGGGGTTAAATTGCAAACGATTTTCCTTGCTCCAAGTCACAACATTGTCTATGTCTTGCTGCAGACGCCTACAATCATCGTCATCGTTCACAGCCAGAGACAGTTTAAGATCATCTGCAAAAAGCAAACAATTTGCGTATTTTACTCGCTTTGGCAGATCGTTTATCATTAATATAACTTGCAGAGGTCCCAAATTACTGCCTTGACTCACACCAGACCCGGTAAAATATGGTTGCGAGGTGTATCCCGCATAGTCCACATACTGCTCCCGGTCCATCATGTAACTGCTAAAGAACTGTAGTAAATGGGGAGTAAAACCGACGCCTGCTAGCTTATTAAGCAGCAGGTCATTATCGACTAAATCGAACGCTTTCTTGAAATCAAAGTAAGCAGCGTCAGCCTGACCCCCACTGTCCACCGTAGGAAGAAGTTGACTCATATAGTTTAGGAGATTGGTGGTCGTGCTCCTCTTTGGCTGGAATCCATGTTGAGAGTCCGAGAGCTGTGACCTTACCTGCATAAATACGCTCTTGTAGATAGCAGACTCTAACACCTTCGACGGCGATGATAGAACTGCAATCGGCCGGTATTCGTCAACTTTATCCCCCATCCCACCCTTTGGCACGGGTACTACACGAGTAGTTTTCCATCTATCTGGAAAAACTGCTATTTGAAGACATTGGTTAAATATGTACAGCAACGGTTCGGCCAGTACTGACCTACAGTCCCTAAGTATGTATGTCCCCTGGGATCTCGAGGCCGGAGTCTTCAAGAGGGTGTACGACGAAGGCGCCCTGATGCGGCGTGTTCTTGGAGGTCGGCCGCTTCCGAAGGAGATCGATCGCTAGAGACAGTTAGCTCGCGATGATCTCTTCCGGAAATGGGCCGAAAGGTTAGAGGTGACCCATAGCGGCTCGCTGCTCGTGGGGGCCGTTCGGCCCGTCCTGCGTCTGTGGGTAGAGAGGGGTCATGGGGCTCCGACATACCACCTCACCCAACTCCTCACGGGTCATGGCTGTTTTGCCAAGTACCTGTGGGAGGTGGTTGGGATGGAGTCGGAGCCCCGGTGCCGAAACTGCACCAGCGGCGACCCTGACACGGCCTATCACACCATGGCCGTGTGTGAGGCGTGGGACGAACAAAAAAAGGCCCTCACGAGCACCGTTGGTGCGGACCTATCCAGCTATGGCCGGCAGCGAACAGTGTTGGGCTGCCGTCGCCTCGTTCGCTAGCGAGGTGATGGCGGCCAAGAGAGAGGCTGCAGGCCCCCGGCGAGGGGACGCCGGCGAGCCGTTTAGGTGAGCCCGTTAAATAGGGCGTCCCTAGCCGAGTCGCGGTGAGCAAACTATCCCGTGGCTCGGATTAGGCGAAGGAGGAACACAGTGTTGGTTCAGTGGGTAGTCTGGCCCGTCAGGAGTCCCACACAAAGCGAGCCCTCTGCCCCCGCAGGGGGTGCGCGAAGTGCCTAAACGCATTCCACCAAGTAAAAAAAAAAACTTACTCAACCACGCCTCACCTTCAACACGCACGTCGCGAATGTTTGCAAGAAAGCAGTGGCTTTCTACGCCCAGCTTTCGAGAGCCACGGAGGCGAGCTGAGGCCTCCACCCTAAGGTTATCCGCGCTATTTTCCGACCGGTGGTTGAGTCCAGCCGCGGCGCTGTATGGCGCGAGGAGGGTGGTGCCCCAGCCTGGGATAGGGGATCGGGAGGTGGAGCGGATGTCCTCAGCTCTGCGGTCCCCCACCCCGCTCGGCATGTCGACCTCGACTTCAAGTGCTTGGTGGACCAGGAACAACTCATGGCCATCAAGGACCATGATATTAATATTTACACGGATGGCAGCAAGATTGAGGGCAAGGTCGGTGCGGCATTATCCGTATGGACTGGCGCCATTGAAACCAAAACTCTCAAGCTTGCTTTGCCATCATTCTGCACGGTCTACCAGGC